GAGGGAGCAGAAGAGAGTAGGAGGGAGCAGAAGAGAGTAGGAGGGAGTAGCAGAGAGTAGGAGCTGTCTCTTATACACATCTAGATGTGTATAAGAGACAGGGGTGAGGGGGACGGGTGAGGGGTGAGGGGATTGTGGGTGAGGAGGTATGGGTGAGGGTATTTGGGTATATACATTCACCATCACTCACCATCACGAGTCACCATCACTCACCATCAAGAGGCGCGTTCTCCAGGTCACCATCACTCACCATCAAGAGTCACCATCAAGTCACCATCACTCACCATCAAGAGGCACGTTCTCCAGGTCACCATCAAGACTCACCATCAAGAGTCACCATCACTCACCACCAAGAGTCACAATCAAGACTCACCATCAAGAGGCGCGTTCTCGAGGTTCTCATCAAAAGTCTTGGGTCTTTTCTTCTTAATCAAGTCACCATCACTCACCATCAAGAGTCACCATCACTCACCATCAAGAGTCACCATCACTCACCATCACGAGTCACCATCACTCACCACCAAGAGGCACCATCACTCACCACCAAGAGTCACCATCACTCACCATCAAGAGTCACCATCACTCACCATCAAGAGGCGCGTTCTCGAGGTCACCATCACTCACCATCAAGTCACCATCAAGACTCACCATCAAGAGGTGCGTTCTCCAGGTCACCATCACTCACCATCAAGTCACCATCAAGACTCACCATCAAGAGGCGCGTTCTCGAGGTTCACATCAAAAGTCTTTGGTCTTTTCTTCTTCGGCGAGGCGCTGTCCTTGGCCTCGAGGCCCCCCCTCTTGCTGCCCCCCGCGGCCAGGGTGGGGGGGTCATCAGGGGGGTCAGGCCCCCACCCCTCCTCAGGCTCCTCGATGTCGGGGGTGATGGGGAGGTACAGCAGGGGAGGGGAGGCCGACCTGCTGCCCTCCTCCTCGTCCGAGGAACAGAACGCGGCCACGGGCTCGATGTTGGTGACGTCAACCTGCAGCGAGTAGGAGTAGGAGTGAGTGGGAGTAGGAGTGAGTGGGAGAAGGAGTGAGTGGGAGAAGGAGTGAGTAGGAGTGATTAGGAGGAGTGAGTAGGAGTGAGAGTGAGTAGGAGTAGGAGTGAGTAGGAGTAGGAGTGAGTAGGAGTAGGAGTAGGAGTGAGTAGGAGTAGGAGTAGGAGTGAGTAGGAGTAGGAGTGAGTAGGAGTAGGATTGAGTAGGACTAGGAGTAAGTAGAAGTGAGTACGAGTGAGTAGGAGTGAGTACAAGTGAGTAGGAGTGAGTACGAGTGAATAAGAGTGGGTACGAGTAAGTAGGAGTGAGTACGAGTGAGTAGGAAAGAATACGAGTGAGTAGGAGTGAGTACGAGTGAGTAGGAGTGAGTAGGAGTGAGTAGCAGTGCGTAAGAGTGAGTAGGAGTGAGTAGGAGTGAATAGGAGTGGGTACGAGTAAGTAGGAAAGAGTACGAGTGAGTAGGAGTGAGTACGAGTGAGTAGGAGTGAGTAGGAGTGAGTAGGAGTGAGTAGGAATGAGGAGTGAGTAGGAGTGAGTACGAGTGAGGGAGTGAGTAGGAGTGAGTAGCAGTGAGAAGGAATGAGTAGCAGAGAGTAGAAGTGGCGAGTAGGAATGAGTAGCAGAGAAATGAAGTGGCGAGTAGGAATGAGTAGGAGTGTGGTGAGTAGGAGTGTGGTGAGCAGGAGTGTGGTGAGCAGGAGTGTGGTGAGCAGGAGTGTGGTGAGTAGGAGTGTGGTGAGTAGGAGTGTGGTGAGCAGGAGTGTCTACTGGACGACAACGGCTAAGGCGGAGGAATTCTACCTCACAATATGTGCAAGCAATTCTGCTTGCATATCTTAACCCTACAACAGAAAACCAGTTTAAATATTATGAGATGACAATACTCAGACTATCCTATCATCGCACTTTTCAATCATTATCACTATGATAACAAATGATACTAACATCCTCGTCATCGCACTATCGTCCCTTCTATCATTATCACTATTGTTCCAACTATTATCATCACTATGATAACAAATGATAGGAACTAACATCCACATCCTCGCACTATCGTCATCATCATCGCCACAACAAATGATACCAACATCGATGTCCTCCTCGCGCCTCTCAGCGCTGGCCTCAACGCTGCGGTCCTCGTCGGTCTGGTATCATTATCACTATCATCACTATCACCATCACCATCACCATCACCATCACCATCACCATCACCATCACCATCACCATCACCATCACCATCACCATCACGATAGCGTCACCGGAAGTTCTCTTCGCTGCTTCTGTCAGGACCTCGCAATTCGTTGCATCCTCAGACGTAATCGCCGTACGACGGCCGTAANATGCCCCGTGTAAGGAAGTCCCAGATGACAATGCGTCCGTCATTGCAGCCGACGGCCAGCAGAGCGCCTTGTCTGTTGAAGGCGCACGTCACAGCCAACGAGACACAGTCAAGAGTCCCGTCAAACTCCTCAGGGTAGTTCTGACCAAACGTCTCTGCCAAAGAGAGCAGAGAATAACTGGCAAATTTATAAAGAATCAGTGAGCAATGGAATTATTACCTTCAAACCTGGTAATAAGGGACGGTTTTGAGCGTTTTTCCTTAATAACTTCTTACCATGAAACATTTCATAAACAAGTTTAGGCTCATTTTAAAGGTATTTGCAAGGGCTATCATATGGCGTCTCTGAAAAAATTCCATATGTTATTTGTAAGGTGCCAGATGCAAAATAAAAGCCTCCTGAACCAACCCTGTGAACGGGGTAATAAGGGGCACTTGAAATAAAACTAAATTTTAAAATGTTTGAAACATGCAGAGTGAGCTCATCTATTACTAACAATAGGTACTCTGAAGTTTTCCTCTTCCTTTGTAGATGATGTAAATGTAGAATAAATGACATTTTCTGTGAATTTTACTTGCTCTTCCTTTATTGATATGATATCACCTTATCCATACATTACCATATTATTGATGTGATATTACCTAATCCATGGACATGTCATTGAGCATTAACAACCTTGTCCACTGCAAGCTTCATATCAGCAGCCATGCAGCATTTCTTCTGTAACTGTAAGCTTACAGAACGGCTTGTAATTTTGCACCATTTCAATTGAGTCAAGTGGATTCAACATAACAAAAAAGATTGTAAAAAAACATACCTGAAACACAAAGGAATATTTTAGCAACAACTATCATATTATCTGAGAAAAAAATCATAGCTTAGGTTAATTTATTTCCATTCTATGTTGCCAAGTGAACAATTCTAGCTATGACATCCTATGCACCTGTCTCTTATACACATCTAGATGTGTATAAGAGACAGAAGCAGCACTTCACCCATCACTCCACCCACCAGAGAAGCAGCACTCCACCCATCACTCGACCCACCAGAGAAGCAGCACTCCACCCATCACTTCACCCACCAGAGCAGCACTCCACCCATCACTCCACCCACCAGAGAAGCAGCACTCCACCCACCAGAGAAGCAACACTCCACCCACCAGAGAAGCAGCACTCCACCCATCACTCCACCCACCAGAGAAGCAGCACTCCACCCACCAGAGAAGCAGCACTCCACCCACCAGAGAAGCAGCACTCCACCCACCAGAGAAGCAGCA